CTCAGGCGAAAGTGAATGGCGGCTAAAAAAAGGATCCAGAACATGCTTTCCATCGTATTTATGACTTGTCGCCTGAATGTACCTGAATTCCACAGTTGATCTACGATCTGAGACAATCATTAAAAATGAATTAAACCAAATTATTTCTTGTCAGTGCCTGAATTTGAAATGCTCTTTTGTAATCTGTAAACAGATTTCTTACATATTAGCAATACTGAATATCTTTCTTTAAAAAATTTAATTCATTTGAGCTTTGAACACTAAGAAAATTAAGCGTGCTGCCGAATTAAATACTTCAAAAAAGACCGAAAGCTATTTACGTTTATTGCTATGATTTATCAAACAAAAGCATTTCCTAACGTAAAGTATTACTAAAGTGCTCAGCACATGTAGGAAAATCATTGAAGCATAGTTATACGGTAAAAACACATTGATCTACACGGGAAAAATATTTAGAATTTCATTACAAGTGGTCAATGGGTACAAATTTCTTACTTGAAGTATGTATACTGAACGTAAAACATTTTTTTTCGACTCATTTCACAGGATACTTTCACTTGTTGAATAAAACATTATTATCTGACAAACAATAAATTAAAGGATCTTATTTTCTTTAACAAAACTGTTATTATTTATTTGCTTACAAGATGTTTATTTATGCGCTTATTGATTAGCCAGTTAAATGATGGAGGCATCTGTCGGAAAATACAGACAAATTTCATATTTTTTTTTTTAAAAAAGTTCTTATTTATACAAGCTGGTGAGGGTAAATTTAAAACACAGTTTATAAAAAAATGACTATGTCAATATTAGATAATCAAGTTGAAGTGATTGTGTTACATACTTTCGGTTAGTTAAGTGCTTTCCCAAAAAAGAGACAGGATCTACAAAATAGAGTTTCACTGATTAGTGAAGTTTACTTTCCCTTCATTATTTACATTAGTACTTTTTGATTCTGTTAGTTGTATTCATTTGAATGCGTTTCATTTTCTTCATAGTTAACAATTCAGCGTTTCATTTTCAATACACTTTTTCTTTGATTTAGATGGGCAAATAAATTTGTTTTGAAAATTTTCAGGCCCTAATATTAGCTGATTATTTTCTCTATATACTACAAACAGTTTTAATCAACGGCATGTAAATGAGTTGTTAATACTGTTCATAGATATTCATAAATATTGATAATTGTTCATTATTTTTTATGAAAATAGATGATTAATTTTTAGAATAATAATAAAAATCAGTAGTGCTTTAATTTTTAGGCAATCTGATATCTCCATTATATTTATATGCTTTTAATGACTGGCAAACTACAGTATAATTGAATGAAAAAGTCCTTAGCTTATTACGAACTAAATTAGCTTCATCTAAGAGCTACTAGTTTAGCGAAAATAATGAATATAGTCAGTAATTTGTTTATTCAGTTAAACAATTTTCTATAGGGGAAGCTTAGCATTGTTGCATGTGACTGGATATATATTTTCCACGGAATTTTATTTTCCTTAACAGATACTCAATACTAATGAAATAAAAGACAATTTAAAAAGTAATGAACGACTAACTGAAGTGAATCTTTTATTATTCTACCCACAAATGTGGACTTAAATTCACCAGGAGTGTAACTGATGAGTGAAAATCGACAGAGACTAGTCTTATCTCAGTTTGCGCTTTCACAGTATAGTCAAAATCATACATGTGGTTAAATTCACGACCTTACAGACTTCTGAACTGTAATTTCACACTCAATTTTATATTCAGTTCAAAATATTTGAATATTCTACTTCATTTGCATTTCTTATTTTCTGGGCCCTCTTATGCCTTTGTACGGCTGAAAGCATGGAGAGTTCATTCCCTTTCTCCAAATGCACTCACACGGCCATGCATGAATAGCCATCGCGAGGGAATAACCACCCACTGCCCACTGTCTTTGACGCGCTTAGTGGGTAAAGTGGATCAACCTGGGAGAAATAGAAAAATCTGACTCCAAATTAGTGGTGCACATGGGCTCCAGGATCCTGAAGAAATAGATGAAGTACAAACCTATGGTCGGTCACCGACTATAATGTGACTGCATCTCCTTACGTTGCTCAACTGTCTTGTAGATTAAATCTTCAGGTCGAAGGCCCGCATAGTGACCTTTTAATTGAATCACCTTGTGTTTGGTCTCCTGGACAGTAACCCAGCCTAAATACAAATGTTTTGATTTAAGAGGCACATCGATTTTCAAACGCTCCTTTCATCGATAAATACGCGCCTAGATAATAATAATATTTCTGCTAGTGAATAAACAGTAAGATGTGAACAGTGATGATATTTTGTTATTTGTATATTTTAGAGAAAGCATGACTTATTTTTCACATTTAATTGCATTTAATTGCTTTCACTAAACAAGGTGTAGACTAATTACTTGCAAAGAAGCCAAGTCATTCAAAAAGTCCAATATTACCTATAGTGAAATTTCTGATATATTTTGTATAAGATTATACTGTTCACTACAAAGTTTATGACCCAAGGATTACGTTGGGGAATGAAAAATACTGGTGAGTTTAATTTAAAAATATTTAAAAAATTCTACTTAACAATATATATGGCTATCACAGTGCTTTAGGAATTAGTTTTAAGCTTTAGATAAACGACCTAAAATGGATCAAAGGTTGTACAGATTGAATTCAATGACCAATGTTTTTCTGCAATAAATTTACATAATTGTATTTTATTATTCATCATTTATGAGTGACTTTGAAGTTATAAAAAAAATATTTTTAAGCTTTATGCAATGTGTTGAAAAAGTAAAGATTTATTAACAGAAATTATATTCTAAAAATGAAGTATTTTCTTAATCTTTCGAATGAAGTATGGTTGTTAAAAAACTAACAATGTTTATATTTCACTCCATTTTCATTAGATAGTTAAACAAATAGATTTTTATCTTGGTATATTATGATAGATCTGACTTGGTGTTTTTATCTGAAGACAATCTAAAAAGTAAGTTACTTGAAGTGAATCTTCCTAATTTAAATCTTTATATCATAGCTCACGCTATCAATCATGTCTGTTCATACACTCATAATTCATTTGCTTATGTCATCATGTCGCATCATTCAGTTTATTAAATCTAAGCAAACTCTGTATGTTGAGCTTTCAACACACAAACAATTGGTTGACAAATAAATGTATCACTCAAGAAACAGTCGTTCTACATTATGTTTCTTTAATCATTTATCTGACACATTATATGCCTTTATTACAGTTTAGAAGTTAATCGTGAATAAACTAATTCAAGAAATAGTAAAAAGTAAGTTTACAAAACGTAGTGTAAAATTACATTGATCTTTTATGGTGATCATCTCACCATTCAATTCGTTAAATTACTTATCAGGCTAAATATTTTTGAACTTTACTTAACTAATTGCAATAACGTCTGAGCTGTGCTGTCATAAAATTGCTATCAGCTAATATTTAAAAAACCGAAAAATTTAAAGACGTCAAAATATTTAAGAAGACTTTTAGGCTGCCAATGTTTTAGCAGCTATATATATTTCATCTTTCTTTAAAGCAAAGGTCTTTACTCGTTTTCGCAATCTTAATTAAAAATACCCTACTTTAATTTAACGTATCTTGATATTAATCCACTTCTCGATAAATTCTCTCCTTATATCAACACAAGAATATGAGCGAAAGTCAAAATAATAGTATAGTATTATTTTTCATTACTGAGTTATGGAGATTATTGAGTTTCATTGAAATTATGCATCGATCATTGTTAGACCACCATTAGAAATCTAGCAACACTGAACTAGTCCTAGTATGGGACTCATTAACAGTGCACATCCACAACGATAATAATGATTGATTCATAATTTCAATGAAACTCAGTAATCTCCATATCATAATAATAAAAATCATAAAATATGCTCATTAAGGAATAGCTTCGTGAAGAGATTCTGGGAGTTCTAGTGAGAAGCTGTAACCACTCTATCAAGAAAATAGTTTGAACTCACCAAAATAGTTCAGACAGCACTCAATAATCCATGCATGAATGCCAAACTGTGGTTTGGTCATCTCATTAGGCCTACTTCTGCTCTAGCTAATACTACTCGTTATGACAGGTAGTAGTTGGATATATATTGTTCCTGTCCCAACTATCTCAAATGATTTTACATTTTAGCTTAGTGTCTTAAACCTTACCTCAGCACTCTTCTACAGTATATATGAAATGTTCTGAAGGCATCAGTGATTAAAAACTAGTAAAGGTTGTATATCCTCCTGTCATTTATCAACTTTCTGCACTAATAATCCGAATAAAGTGCATTCATTTAAGTAGAATATGCAAATATTTTAATAAATAGTTGATGAGAATCAGCATTAACCAGCCTTATATATACTATCTCAATAATAGCAAATATACATTGAAGTAAAATGTTTGTAATTTATGACTTATATACATATCTGTTGTAACGAAAGTACCTAGATGTATTTCAGACACTAACTAATGAACATTTTTATTAAAAAAACTAGAAGAAATCTAATCAACACTGAAATAAATTATGTATTTTCTCACATAGGCTTTACCTAGTGTCCAAACTGAGATAAAGCGGGAACATTGCAATAGAGGGGGGCATCAGACAACAATTTCTTTACAGTACAAGATATCTCAGCCGTATGAACTGGCTATTCTACGCAAGTATTCAGATAAGAACTTTCAGAAATAACACAATCATTTTAGTAAGTGACAGAAAATCGTTCACTAGTAAACAACTTTGAGATAGTTTGAACTGAGAAGTAAATTTGGGTTACATATAAATATATTTAAGTAATATTGACAATAGATCTATTGAAGTGGTTGCACGTAAAAACGTGCAAATTGATAAGAATATCTATCACTTGATGATTGTAGGAATAATTAGTCTAATAATTAAGTGATATTCTTTTTAACTTGTTCACAGTTTCAAAACACTAAACCTTATTTATACAATCCAAATTTATTGATCAAAACTTACTAATTATCCGAATTGTGTTCCGAATTCTATTGAGTATTTTCCTTTGTTGAATATTTCAATAATCTTTCTTCGTCCAATTGAAAACTAATTTTAAATGATTTGTATTTATATCATTTTCCCATCACATTAACAAATAAACATAAAAGCATTCACTATTTAACCGAGATTATCATTTCACTGAATAGATAATTTTCTTATTGGTCAGTTTACATACAATGTTACAATCTTCTGTTGTTGTTTTTTTTCATACCTTACCTTATGTTATTAACTCGATATTTAATTTGCTTGAGAAATAAGGAAATAAAAAAATGTACCAATGTGAAATGTGAATAATTGTATGGTTGATTCAAATAAAAAACTATCAATCTGATGAAATCTTTAGAGTTCTGCTGACAGTTTTCTTTGATGTTAACTACCTCAGTGTCACCTACAAATCTAAGAGTACATTAAGTATTACTGAGTATTCATTTTTAGGTTATTCTCTTTTAAAATATGAATGTTTTGTTTTATTCCCTTTTATATATATATATACAGATGAGAATTATTTTGAATTTACATTTTACATGTGTCTGACATAAGTTTTCGTAAAAGAAATTATCTATTTATCAAAAATATTCAATTCGCAGTTACAATAATTATTATCATAATTATTAGTAAGTTCGATTTTTGACTTTCCGGATATCATGTCTGGATAAACCGTTGGGTTTGGTTAAATTTCAGTCACTGAGATCATTTCAAATATAATTTTTACAAATAATGTCGTAATATACTTTCTCTTATTCGTTATCTTATCATTTATAACAGTAAGTAGATATGTTTTGAGATTAACCTTGTTGCACCAGTGGACACCCAATAGACAGTTTGAGATTTATGTTTTCATGAGTTATCGATATGTTCAGAGCTAATTAACACATGCATTCCAACTGTAGACTAATTCCAATAAAACTGGTTTGTTCATACTAGTCACGCTTAATAAAAATGTTTTTAATGACTGTTGATAGGGTATTCATCGAAACAGTAGTTTACAAAAATACTAACGATTCTATCAATCAAATGAGATTGTTTGATCGCTCTGGATTCGACAAAGAAAGCGTATTGATTATATACTTCCAGATGGTATAAACTACATTGCTTCTTTTTATTACAAAGTAATATTTTAAGAGGTCATCTGAAAACGATAATTGAAAGCTGAACAAACAAATGCGTCTAGATAACAAGGTTGGTTTAATTACACAATTGAAAAATTAGCGAATTCTTTCTTTAGTTAAACTTAAAACGATCTGCGAGATATTGAGTAAAATTCGCTTCGATACTATTAGGACATGAAATCGACTTTTCAAAAAATCAGTCAAAATGACCGTAAAATCATTATTTGCTTAACATTTCAAACTAACTGTGATTGATTTCCAATAAAAATACAAGATTCGCTGAGCGTGTTTGTTTTTCAACTATTATTTCGTTATCGAATTCTAAGGAAAAATACTAATGTATTACTTAAAACAAACTTTCTAGAGGTATATAAACACTGATTTACATTAGCTTACACTCATAAACAGGTACACATAGGATTGAATCAAGATAATTTGGGTTTAGTAATAAGCTTATTGGAACCGGACCATAGGCTTCGAAACTGATTATTCACTTTCTATCATATAATATGATTACTGTTAATCAGCTCCTTTCCCATTCTCGACTTAGTTGATTCAACTAACCACAATGGGTTTATAATAAAAAATAAACTAAATTTAAAATAACAAACCAGTGAATTTCAACTCTCTAGCTTTAGTTTATCGCGCTATTCTTGATACCTCAAAAGTAACAGTTTCATTCGTATATTTAGGATGTGTAATGGGCTTCGGGAAAGAAAATCCCAAAATAATCATCTTTATTTATCTCAACTCAATCCAAGTTAAGTTCAGTTCACAAAAAACTCATCTTTAAAATAAAGAAATTTATTCAGATGTCTTATTAAATAAAGTATACGTCGGCCACCTAAAACGAAATAGCACTGAATTATTATGCCTTAGTTTTGAATATTCAAACTGTAAAATTTTTTTAGGTGGGTTAATAAGAATCTAGATGACATTTTACCTATTCAAATCTTTTGTTACAAAGTTTTACTGTATAGATACTGGCAAAGTTTCATTACTTCCCTCAGGAATGATGAATATAACGCAGGTAAAACTAACTGTGGCCCCTATAACTCAATAGTATAGTGCACATGTGACTGGGTTTGAAACTACAATTACTGACTTTGAACATTAAAACTAAGATCAAGGTATACCTCTGCGTACCATATTTCATATGTATATTATTTTAAACATGTACTTCAAGGTTAATTTTATCTAACATTTTTCAAATACTATAAGAGAAAATTTACTGGACCTATTTAAATTCTGAACTTATTTATGGTTTGAGTATATGTATTTATTGTTACCTGCTGATTTTTTTTGGGTTTCACTCGAAATGGTTGTCAATAAACCGTATCAAAACTGACTTTATGTAAGGGAAAGAATAAAGTTACATAGATATTTTCCAAAGAACACATAATCCCATATCATATTATTGTCAACTATTAAAAGATCTCCTATATACGCTTAATTTAACGAAATTTTTGATTCAGATGGTGTATGAGTGTCATAACAGATCAGTATAATCTTATCTCTACTCCACAAACGATAGTTTTAATCCGTCATTTGTGTTGATAACAACATTATGAAAGATATGGTATCTTCAATTTGCACTTCAAAAACCATAGACTAATGTTATCATGAAAGTATTAGTGAGAATTTTTTCAATAAACATTTTGATTTTAGGCTATTTAATGACACCGTAAATGCCTAACAAAGTGGCAGATAAAATTTACTTGCACTGTTTTATTCCAAAAACTAACTTATCTAACTTATTGTATATAATGTTATAATACTTAATGTATGTAATTTTCCGTTTGTTAAGGAAAAAAAAATGAAAGTTTAAATATTTAATTATCTACTATAGCTTAAGTTATTTTATTTTCACTCAACAAATCACCTTTTTAAAAACATCATTTTAAAATTCAGCATCACAGTTATTTTAAAATAATCTATTTCAATGATAAACACTTTCTTACATAATGGATAAAAATAAGTGTCTGTATAAACAGCGATTTCTTGTTTCAGTGATACTTTTCTAATAGTCAGATGGTCTAAAAACAAGGAAACGTAGATTGTATTGTGACAGATGAACGTTTATAAAATTCTAATATAGTGAAGATTTAAGTGTACTTTTAATGTTTATTAAACTTTATCAAGTGAATGAAACTTTTAGCTGTTATTTTAAATGAAAAGAGTAAACCATTTTTCAACTCAAAAGACCCGACAGGAATTGATGATCTCAAGAGCTATTCATATTTTTAATTGACAGAAGTTTTGCACACGAATTCGATGTTGTGAAGTGGTTAAGTATTGTTCTTATTATCTCGCCATCCAATAAGTTGTGGTTTATTTAAAAGAGAAGTAAAACAAAAAACCTTGATTTGTATGTAGTGGACAAATTGAATAAAAATAGGATTATTTCGAAGTTTGATTAAAAGTTATTTTAGGCAGCCATTCATTCATTCATTCTATTCTCAAACTTTATAAATTGCTGAAATCAAATTGTTTTTACGCAGTCAATTATAGTTTACTTCTTCTATACGTGAATGTTATCTTATATATTTTTACTTTCTTATTTCTTTTCTGATAAGGTAATATCTAATGGACTGATTTAGTTATCTTTTTTTATTTCAGTCATAACATTTACGAAAAAATCTCTCCCCTTTTATTCCTTTTATAAATAAATGTTTCGCCAGAAAATGACATCGTCATTGAGAAAGGAACAACTTTTCTAATTTATTAACGAATTTAAATAATGAAGTAGAGAATAGATGAAATACTTCAAACTTTCAAATTTATTATTTGAAATAAAATTTTTGTTGTCCATTGATAAGTGATCAAAGTGGATGCACATACCAGTAACTAGACGCATGTACATAGTTATCTTAATTTATTTACTGAAATCATACTACTGAGATAAATTAGATGAGAAGAAAAATTTCTCTTCAAACAGACAATGAATGATAGACAGATGAATAAACTTACGAATTGTTACATATTCTGTCGTATGTCGTACATGTAACAATAATTATCAGAGGAAATTTAAATGAATAATAACATATGTTTTCATATAATTCATATCTTTTCTTAAAAAAAAAAGTATTTATATTCAGAAAAAAATAATAGTAGCTATTTATTTCGACATTGTTTTCTTTTCCATTTTTTTTTATATATTTTACTTTATAGTTTTTATTAAAATAAAAGTGAAATCTCATTACTAAGTATAGAAATTCTATTTACTTGGTATTGTTCGGAAATAAAATATACTTTCGGCTAGGTGATGTTTTTTATTTCTGCTTTTTTCCATATGACGAAGTTGGCTGATGAACAGTCTAAAATCTTAATAGAATTGAACAATTGTTTCTAAGAGTTCATTTTTGCAAAACAATTTACTTTGAGATATCCTATCTATCTCTTTCAGTTTGAAATTTCAGTCCTACACATTTTTACTCAATAGATAAAATATGACCATCCATCTGAGCTACAGATTTTCTAACTAAGCCACTGATGAATGTGTTGATCCAGCAGCAAGTTCTCTTGTTTTTAATATAACTAACATGGTCTTTTAAAGAAATTTTCGAAAATATATACAAGGCTAGATGTTTAACTTCTAGTGACTTTATTCAGTTATGATGAGGATTAATCTTTTGATAATTATTAAGAATCTTGCAACTGCAACATTAACCTATTATTTCTAGTTGCCTGAACAGACGTTTGTTACTTTTGTCCAAGTAGTATTGCCAACCGAATTTCTTCTCACATATTAGAGAATAGATTTAGTGGACTACATGTATAACTCAGAAAACAAGTCAGACATGGCCATACGACTGTTAATTAACATCTCTTCTCAAGAAAACTGTATATGCGCAAAAGCAAAGATAGATTTAGAATAATGAAAATTCATTTTATTTCGTTAGGTTCTCATCAGCTGCTTACAACTGATAATATTTTCAAATCAAAATCATAATGGAAACTGATATGTTTA